CGGCCCGCAGTGCTACCGTCGGCGAGCTTTCCTCCATGGGTTCGACCGTTCCTCGATCTCGAGTTCCGCGATCAAGGAGCTAAGAAGTGTTTCGAGCAGGTCCTGAGCACTGTGTTGCCGGATCCCACTCCAGGTGATATGACCATCCATGTCACTCTCGATCCGCTGAACGCATTCTTCGACTACACGAACCCAAGTCACCCATGGCAAGTCGATCGTCAGCTCCTTCCCGAAGATCCATTCTTCTTCAGCATGGAAGTATTTGACCCTCTTGCCCCGGTTTCCAAGCGAGCTCCACTGGAAACCGTATTCACCGCCTATGGGCGAGTTTTCGTGGTGATAGTCCCATGCCAGATCTCGGCTTTGCACTTTGGGAGCGTCGGTTCTGGATCCTCGCTGCCGCTGTTGAAAAGGGGTTCACCGTTTGTTCCCAAGACAACCGACTGGCTCGCGGAGGTTACTGCGTTGGTGGGTCGACACCCGTGGCGTGCAAACTGGGTGTACCGACCGTTCGATCACCCGTACAGCACGACCTACGTGCCATGCACTCGAGAGGCTCGGATCTTCTGCCCTCGCGGTGTTGATGCCGCGATGGCTAACCAAATTGCTAGGGCGATCATTGCCAACCCGTGTTTGCAACCTCCTGAGTTAATCCCGGACTGGCAAGATCGCTATCTCACGGGAGCAGTGCCTGGTGATTCGACTGCGGCTGCGTCGACAGTAGACAGCGGTGTCGACGATTCAAGTACTTCCGCTCTTCCGCCCGCAGCTTGCTTGTCTTCTCGCAATGAAGAAGAGAAGGAGAGCAGCGGTGACACATCTCGGGGCGTGCTTGCTGAAGCTGCTCGGCGACTCTCGTCTGATTGAACACTCGGTGCTCGTCTCTTCACCTTCGTCTGTTCTATGCCGATCTCCTGCGGGCAATTCCCATCATTCTCTCTTAGTAGTCGAAGTTTCACACGCTTTCATGTCTTCTTTCTTTAATCCATTTTCAAAATCGTAATCACGTTCACATAAATCATCATATACATATGCAAGTTGTTGGTACAGTAATTTTTTTCGTCTGCTATCTCAGGCTGCACCGCCCTGTGAACAGTTCACGCGTGTTCAAGCCACGCTAGTCCTCGTCAGCGACCTGAACCATCTGCAGCCGACGTTCGCTCTTCTTGGCCAGCAGATAGGCGTATAACAAGCCTCCACACGACAGGTTAGGTGTTGGCTCCCAAGTTGGTTCATCATAGCCGACCCATTTGGCTTTGAA